TAACTAATAAAAGTATACTAATTGAGAGCCCAAGAAAACATTTTATTGCTTGACTTTATCTTTTTAACCAAAACTTGGACTAAAATCAGTGTTAAACTTCGACTAAGGCATAATTATTCAAAATTTGAGTCTTAGACCTAATTAGATTCAAGCCAAACATATGCATACTACATGTTTAACGGCTTAGCATAAGATTACCTAATAACAAAAACAAACATTTATCTTTGATTTTTATTCATATGAGACATCACATCACTTAACTTAAAAAGGTATAAACTAAAAGTAAGAAATAGTTGATCGTAAATTAATGAAAGTAGAAAGAAAATAAGATTTTATTATAGTTTTGCTGCTTTTATAATATGTCAGATCGATTTTGTTTTTAGTATAAGAGCTTTAACTAAAATTATTGAAAATAAAGATATTACATATGTTAATAGTAATGGAGTGCCATGACTATGTTCAATAGTTAATATAAAAGAATTACCACCAATGGTATATTTTTTGTTGTGGTATTTAATTGTTATATGACAATGCTATGTGTTTTTCACCATATATCTATGTTTTGTGTCTTCGTAATTATCGGATGAATCATATTCTATATACTATAACTAATCAAGTTAATAGAATATGATTATAGATACCAAGTATCTTTCGGTCACATGTTCATGTCTATCCTGCAATATAATAATTAAGTATTTATATCATGTGTTTTATTTTATTATATATTTTTATTTTTTATTAGATGTATTACTGTGATATATATATTTTTTTTTTCATTTGATATAATTTAATTATTTCTAGATTATTTTTTATAATTTTCATTTGTTTAGTCATGATCTCCATTATCTATGTATGCATGTACTTTTATAAGAATAAATACCAGCAAATATCCTCAAAAAAACTAATATAACTACGTAACTTTGACAATGGATAAAATTTCAACAAAATCACAAGTAATTAAATTTATAAAACGAAATTAATATTGTGTCTATTAGTATAATAAAAATAATTTATAATTTATAATAAAATTATTTTATTACTTTTATAAAATATTACGAGTTCAATTTTTATTGTACTCTTACGTTTATTATTATTTGAAATTTATTTATACTATATTATGATTAAAGTATATATATTATTTAATTAATAAATATATACATTATCTACTTCTATAAAAATAAAAACTATCTGGTGTTGGAAAAAAAAAATCACTTAAAAATGATAAGTTTTGCATGGTTTATAAATATATTACTTAAATATTGTTAGTTAGAAAATTGTAAGAACTAGATTAGACCAATTTAAGACGTGGGAAAAATATAAACAATTTTATTGAGATCCAAAAAAAGCACAAATCTATATATATATATATATAATTGTATGTATAAGTTGTAGGGGATATATTCTAGAATAATTAAAATTTTTTAGAAATTGATTCTTATTATTAAATCAAGTATAAAAGATAAAATGTTAAATAAATAATTAGCTTTTTTTTTTTAATAAAAAAGATAGTATGCATCTATTTGTTTTTATTTAATAAAATTATTTTAAATAATTGAAATGAAAATGACTTAATAAAAAATAAAAAGTTTATATAAATTAATTTAATTTGTAAAGATAATTTATGAAAATGGGACCGCCTGCAAAAGAGTGAGGGAGGTGATGTGACGGCTGATAATCAAACGGCTGCTGACAATTGAATGCCCACGTAGGCATAAGGTTTTTTAAGGCTCCAATCAGAGGCAGTTTGCCACGTGAGATTCACAGCGACAACACACGCCCCTCTCCACCGGCCGAAAAGCCTGCCAACTGCCACTCCCTGCCCCCTCTTTCTCTTTTAAAATTTTATTACAATATATCTATTTTTAATTTTTAATAAATTTTTCATATTTTCTAATTAATTAAATATAAATTTTCAGAGGTTAAATTACCAAATTAAGTATTTTCTTTCCAATTAAACTGTTTTTTTTTTATAAAAAAAAAAACAAATTAAATTCAAACCTTTAAAAGACTAATAAAACTCAACCCTAAAGCCAAGCCATGTAGTCCAAAATTAAACCCACAAAAGAGGGTCTACAAAAATGCATATTATTCTACGTAGATAGCACATAAATATTCTTCACAATTAAAGAAAGCACATCTAAGTAAATAGTGTATATATATTTATTAAATTTTATATTTCCAACCACTTGGGGTCCCCGGTTACAATAATACACCGTAGTTAATTTTGGATACATATCTACGTAGGAGATAGTTTGTAAATTGAAGGCTGAAATATATATATCAATGCAGCTCCTCACTCTCTTTTTTTGGTTCATCAATTATTATTATTATTATTATTTATTAGGATAAATAAATTAACCTTTTCCTTGAAAATGTTTGGTCTCTTTCCGTTATAAGTGGGGGTGGCGGTGGGACCATTTCCTTTCTGTTTTTTCTCCTGTGCCACCAACAGTATACGTACATCCATACACATCTATAAATATATAATATCCAAAATAAGCTATATATATATATATATATATATCTCTCTCTCTCTGTTAAATAATTTTTGTTTCTAGAAGCTTAGAGTGGTATATATCAAAACATGTTCTTTTAAATGTGGGTTATGGATGTGAATGACAAGTTGCAACCAATCCTCCTGGAAAGGTTAAAATACTTGATTTTAATGTTTTTTTAATAAAAAAAAAAAATATTCAAATTATATATTAAAAATTACTTCTTTAATACTAATTAAAAATTAATACCGTTAAATATAAGTACACATAAATAATGATTCATTTATTTTAATCTATATAGAAACTATGTAACATTTATATAAACTCACTTAAAAAATGATGTACCTGCACCATAAATACTAAAAATCTCTTAAGTTGAAGGTCGCGACCATCTTCGTCGATCATCCACCTGTCGAATTTTTTGTCGAAAAATATAACTGCTGGTAGTTGTGTCTTCTTTAAAAGTTATTGCATGACCTATCTTTTGAAGAAATACATTGTGCTATTCAAATCAACGTAATTCTTCTTCCTAAGTTCTTCTCTAGTTGGTACTCCCTACATCGATAAATCGTATCCAATATAATACTTCTCTTTCTCTTTATATCATATATACATATATATGTATAGCAAAGCTAATTTCAAGACAAGATTACAGAGAAATGAGACATTTTATTTCTCTCATTAGTTAATCAAAAACAAATCTAAGCAAGAGTTCTAACACATCTTTTCTTCACTTTCAAGGTAACATTAATTTTGACCACTACGCCCACTCATATCTTTCAATATTTATTGGTCAAAGGCTACAAATTCAAAAATTATTAAAAATTAAGTCAACCTTAGATAATCATTTGCTAATAATTGGCACATATGGAGAATATGTGGCAATAAACATTTGATACTATGGCAACTAAATATCTCTTGTTATCAAATTTTACAAATATTTCTTTACTACAAAATATTATAAGTCTCTCAACTTTTAATTATTATAAAAATATTTCTCACTACTAATAATTACAAGTCATTATTGAAAAGTAGTAACAGAAAAAGATAATCATTGACTTCTTATAAATAAAGAATAATGTAAATGGAAGATTTTTTAGATTTTCTTATATATTTTTACACTTTTTCATGAAATTTTCTCTCACTAGCATCAATGTTGAATTAATCTCTTAAAATAAACTCAATGTCCTTTAGTATATATGTTATTCATATCAAAAACACAATCTATAAAGTTAATTAGTAATAATGTGAATGCTGCATGTAATTTAGTCAATATTTCACAAGACTTTCTTATCATCAATTGGCATCATTTATGGGAATCAAAAGTGGATACAATAATTAAAAAGAGCTCAAGAATCGATAAAGAGAAGAGTTCGTAAAACAGAGAATAAGGAATCCAACTAATCAAGGAGACAGAGTCTCTATATGGCAATGGTTAGCTAATTTAACTTTAAATAACATCCAAATGGTGAGAATTTCGTTGATTGCCACCAAAAAGCTTATGGATATCACATGATCGTATAATGGAATGACATGTAAAGAACACATGGCAATAAACACTGATATTAGACAACAAAAGTAATGTGCTTAGACTCCTTTTTTATATTATCGAACTCTTTTACCACATTTGACCTCACATAGGTTTTTAGATAAAACTTATAATCATTTTATATTCCTTTTAACAACTTACCTTCAGCCAAGACACCAGTTGTCGTATTACCAGTAACATGAATGTTGCGTGTCATCATTTTTATCATTAATATAAATACTAATACAAAAAAGTTAATAATATATTTCTATTAAATTATAACTTTCAAACTTGCCATAAAGGATGTGATCTTTTTGTTCTTTTTCAATTAAGGAATAGCTTAGTTTATGTGGGTAGCATATCCAACTTGTATAGCTAATTTTATTATTTAATGGAGTTGTTTATGATTTTGATCCACCATGTGATTTAAGGATATTGAGAAATTTAAAACAAGCAAACTAACATTGTGGCCAAAACTTACATATATATATATATATATATATGTGTGTGTGTGGCGGTGTATGCAGCTTATACCAAATATACGAAATTACCAATGGTGGCTCATATATAAAAAGAAATTTAGATGATGGTGGAAGTGTGAGGACAATGGCCAGATTCTCCCTTCGTGGCCCGCCCATTTCAGATTGGCCGGAATAAACCATGATTCATTGGGCTTCAATTATACAAATCTCCCTAATAGGCCATCGGCAAGATCTGAATCTATTCCCCCTTACCCAAATCTATTTACAAGTTTTGGAAACTGAGTCCTATTTGTAAATGGTGCTGTTATATATCGATATACGTATAATATAAACAGAAAATAGGCTAAGCACCCTTTAAACTGCTTTGGAAACAGCTTATCACAACAAGAAGCAGACATAACACGTGGAAGCTTCCGCCCAACTCATAAAAACAAAAAAATGTAGCATTGGAATCATCATTAAAGCCGGTTCTCTGACTCTC